TGATTGAACCTGAGACCTTTTTCTGCATGCGAAGCAGATGCTGTACCATTGAGCCACAGCCCTCCCTAAAGCTCTTAAGAACTGATAGTATCTTGGAGTATGGGGCAATTCCTGCTAGGATGGTGAGCACACACTGCAACATTTTGTTGCAGGCTGCGTGTCTTAATAAACACACGCACCTATTCTGCACAGCAATACTGAACTTCGTGCTTTGCTTCTGTTATGGGGGAATTGGAAGGCTTTCCCTCAAATCATCAGGGATGAAAAACCAATCACATTCTTATGTAGATGGGCATCATGCAGCTTAGCAGCAAAGATATATGATCGCGTTGCCATTCTGCTTCTCCCTCTCTGGAGGCGGGTTTTTCTTTTTTCTTTTGGGTATGTGAGCTGTACCAGCAATGCCTCCAAGATTATGGAACACTACACATCTGAAATGGTTAAGAATTCTGTCCTCGCCACCAAGACAGCGGTCATTTAGCAGGCAGGGAAAGGTTGTTTTTTTGTTTTTTTTTTAATTTGTAAGGAGAGAATTGCAGAGGCTTGTGCTTAGCTGACAACCAAAGCAGTAAGGATTTGTCCAAGGTTTTCTTCCTGTGAATTTCCTCCCAACCTTTTGCGGTTTCTGAATTAACCAGTCTTGTTCCTGAAATGAAGCCAACACGCTGGGGAATCTCCATTGTTCTCTCAGTCCCTCTACTTCTGAGGTTCAAGCTAAGAGTTTCATTTTTATTATTATTTAATGTTGCCAAATAGGCACCAACCACACACGCAAGAGGGAAGTGTTAAGGGGATTAGGGCAGCCCTCCTCCTCCAATAAACCATACACCTCCTTCAAAACAGCTGGATGAGGACTGAACAGCCTCAATAGACATGGAATGCCAACAACCTGTTGCGGCCAAAATGGAAAATGTGGAGTGGGCAATGGAATGGAGTCGCTGAAATCCTGAACAGCACCATTCCATGCTGCAACAATTAGTTGCCAGTTCCACTGGATTTCTCCCCCTTTCAATTTCCGGATTTTGTTCAGAGCACTTTACAGGCAGCTTTCAGCTCTTTCACATCTCCCTTCGCTCTTTGTTACTCATGCATCTGCAAACATTGACAAAACACTGCCAAAACTAAAAACCAGGGTGCTTGGGTGTCTGGTTGCATCAAGATTCTTTTTGGTCTGTGATGCTTATATCAATGTGCAGGAGCGGATGTGTACTTCAGCAAAACACTGAAGGGACACAGGAAGCTGCCTATGCAATGGCACAATTCAATAGCAATTGGATGGCCATAGGACATAGGACTCTGCCCTTACACTGAGTTCAGACCATTGGTCCATCTAACTCAGTACACTAACTTGCAGCGGTCAGGGAGTCTCTTCCAGTCCTACCTGGAGGTACTGGGAATTGAACCTGGAGCCTCCTGCATGCAAAGCAGATACTCTACCATTGAGATGTGGTGCTTGAAAAACTTATTCAAGACAATTGTACATATATTGTGCATGTGTTTTGTCAATGGGCACAAGTGTATCTCTCACTCGCTGGATCATCACCTTGTGCTGAGTGGGCTTGCATGTTCCTATGACCCTTGTGAGCGAAGCTGTCGGGAGTCTCGTACTCCCAGCAGGGTCACCCAAGACGGTAAGGTCAAAGGGGAGGAGCTAGACAAAGCATGATCCAAAAAGTCCTCAACAGCAGAACAGGCGGAAGATAACAAGCAGTATGTTACAATAGCTGTGAAGGTGGATGAAGGCTGCAGCAGATAAGAATCTACCGCTCATCGTGATTACTCATGCCATCGGAATAGAGCCTTACTGCAAAGACTGTGTGTTGGTCAGTGTGACGAAAGGGAGAAATGCGCTAAGAAGAAGGCATGCTTGGCAAACCCTCACTTTGATCAACTCCTGCACTGAAACCTATGCTCCCATTGTGGAAGGACATGTGGATCCAGAATTGGCTTTCACAGTCACTTACGGACTCACTTTTAAAACCGTGTTTATGGAAGACAATCTTACTCGGCTACGAGTGATCGCCAAAGAAGAAGACGACGACGAAGAAGACAAGTGCATCTGTAATGTCTAGATGCAGACTGCCCGTGCTCCAATTCCAGAATTAATTCTCAACATTCACCTAGCATTCAGGAATCATGGGGTGCAGGGCAAATCAAAAAAGAGAATAATGGGGTGGAATCAGAGACATCCTTGCATCCTGACTGCATTACCTGATGCTGAGGACTTGCTCTGCTTCCATCCCAGAGGGCAGAAGCAACTTGTGTTGACTCATTTGTGTAAGAGAATCTCCTCTCCAGCTGAGTTCAGAGAAAAACATCCACAGAACCAAATCTGGCAGATTCTATGAAAAATAGTCTTAGGTAATGCCTGAAAAGCCAGTTGCAGTTTGAATTCTTTTATAATAAATTAGCTGAATCATAGTTACTATGGACCAAATTTTCTCAGTCCATTCAGATACAGTCAGAGATATGTTCCCCCACACAATTTTTTTAGATATTATAATATTAGCAGCAGTTTATAAGGTTTATGGAAAAATTGGTATTTTAGGCAGTGTTTTGGAACAAGTTCAATGATAATATGCAACCTTATGCTGCTTTAAACCTGCTGTAACAGTATTTGTTTATGCTCTTTACCTTTATTTTTTTTTTTGTTTACTAATAACATAAAATTTATTTTGAAAAGAAAAGCCAGATGCAGTTTCTAGGGATCAAAGCCAGCTAATGACCAGTCTACTGGATTTGAACAGCTTTAGAAGTTAAAAGAGGTAATCACTGAATTTAGCAAGTTGACCAATCCAGTTGTTCAATAATAATGACAGCAATGCAGTTTCAACAACAACAGAGCCAGTTTTTACTAATGGAAATGGAATAAAAAAATCTATCTAACAATCAAAAAACCCTCCTGTAGACTCTAACCCTGTATCTGATGTTTACGGATGGTGGTATTTTGTCAGTAAGCGTGTTCACATGTTACATGCAACGAGTGTACAATCTGCATACCGAGTGTATATTCATGTACATGTCTATTCAATGGTGAAGCTGTACAAATCGACAAGTGTACACTCTTTAATGCAAACCCTTGAACATGTACAGCTTCCACGTGTGTTGAGTGTAATGACTTGATGCACATCCATAGGGTGTGCATATTTGGAATACATTGCACTGTTCTGGCTGCCAGCTCCACCCCCTGCAAAAGGAAATTGTAGATCTGGAAAAAGTGCAGAAAAGGGCCACTATGAGAATAGGATGCTGGATTAAACCAGCCCTTGGCCTGATCCAGAAGGACGTTTCATAGGTTCATGCGAGCACCTGCCTCCCCACCAGATTTGGCAGCAGTACATGAATCAGTGTTTAGGTCAGGAATAAGAATGTACAAAGGCCTTCTGTTTTGGCTTGTATTAGTTGTATGGAGCACTGTCTGCATGCTGCTGCAGTTTGTCTTTTGTCAAAAATTACGTTATTCATCTCACTGTCCAATGTGGGGGAAATTACATAAATTGCATAATTAATTTTGTAAATTACCTTGCTATTTTATGTTATTCCACCCTATTCATTCCAACACAAAGGAAACACAATGCAAATGGGGAAGAAACTTAATAAATTAAGTATTATTTCTGGACTGAGAGCAGCAGCAACAAGAGCAAATACCAATTGTATTCGCTGGATTGATTTCTGTTCTGGGCACGCGATGAATTAGCTACAATCGGCAATTCCTGTTTCCATTTCCATTTCCATCAGAATTCTTGAACAACCCTACACAGGAATTCAGGGCTGCGCCTGCCACTCATATGTTTCCACAGAGAGTTGTCTTTGTCATTTCTTATCCTTTTGAATAAACATTGTTAGGATGGTGCAGCAAAATCTCCAGGAGTAGCTGAGATCCTTGTGGATAAAAATCTTGAGCAGAGAATGAGGAGTTCTTTTCAGCCTGAGGGCAGCACTTGCTCTTCGGCATCCTTCCAGGGCTGGGGTTGCATGCTAGTGGTGGGAGGGGCCAGAAGCAGAAGTGGGCAGAGCAAAAAGTGTGACTCTTACCTCTGCATGGTAAAAGTCAGAGCTTTCCACCCTCATTCCAGACCAGCAAGAGGCATAATCACAGTTGAAGGAAACATTCCAGTCAGGCAAAAGCGCCAAAGGAGGACACAAAGCATGGCCATTGAGGGATGTTGCATGGGGATAAGGGGTGTAAACTGGAAAGTTGTGTGAACTCAGAGGAGTTCTGAGGCTCACTTGTAAAGGTCTGAAGGTATTTGATTCATTGGCTTGAGAGCCCTCATCCCCGTCTTGAGTAATAATTGCAGCAGGGAAAGAACTGTCTAAGTTTCTTCATTGGTTTCTAGGACTACTTGGGCAGCAAGAGTCTGGATCCAATAGTCAATACGGTGATTCAGATCCTGAGGAAAACCTACCCCAAGACGCCACTTCCTTCAGCTACTCTTAGCAGCTCCTATTCCTTTCCCATCCCTGGGGCAACTGGACCTTCACATCCAAAATCTGAAGGTACTGTAAATTACTTCAATGTGTTAAGTGGGAAGGGGAAAGGAATGAATCAAGACTGAATGAATGGGGGACTGCTCCACCAACCTCTGTTGGTTCCCAGTCAGTTCCCACTGGCCTGCTTTTTTTAAACTTACAACCAGCCCAGGGGGTGCCACTGTCTTGTCAGTTTCCTCCCCAACAGTCTGAGTGTTGCCCTTGTAGAACTTAGCAGGAAGGAGGATGGGGACAAAACTAGAATGGGTTGGTTCTGCATGTTATTGGCTCTGGCTCCACCTACTGCTGGGCTCCTTGCTCTCTGCTCCATCAGTCCCAAGGGGCCCCAGCTGCCACTGAACTGAAGTTATCATCATATGTGCTAGGGTTGAGTAACAGTGGAAAAGGAGGAGCTGCTGGCAAGGGTAGGATGAAAAAGAGAGAAGGAGTGAGCTAAAGCAAAATCTGCCAGATGTTCTGTTGTGCAAGCCTTACTAAAATGAGGAGGAGCTTCATTTTGGGGAATTGCTGTCATTTAGTGGTAGAGTATCTCCTTCACATGCAGAAGGTCCCAGGTTCAATCTCTGGCATCTCCAGGTAGGGCTGGGGAAAACTCCTTCCTAAAAGCCCTGGAAAGCTACTGCCAGTCAGTGTAGTCAGTACTGAGCTAGATGGACCAATGGTCCAACTTCATATAAATAAGCTTCCTATGACCCCTGCAGCCCTCCAGATGTTGTTGGACTCCAGTTACAATCAGCCCCAGCCAGCAAGGCCAATGGCCAGAGGTGATAGGAGCTGAGGTCCAGGAACATCTAAGAACATAAGGAGAGCATGGTGGATCAGGCCAATGGATCATCTAGTCAAGCATCCTGTTCCCACAGTGGTTGGCCAGTTGCATCAGTGGGAAACCCTCCAGCAAGACTCAAGCACAGGAGTATTCTTCCTTCCTGTGGTTTCTAGCAACCAGTTTTCAGAAGCATCAGTGCTTCCAGCTACGGAGGCAGAACATAAACCATCATAGCTAGTCGCCATTGGTGGACATATCATCCATGAATTAGTCTAATCCTCTTTTAAAGCTAGCTGTCTGGAGGGCTACAGGTTCCCCTCTCCTGCTTAAAAGGGTCATTTAAAAAAAGATAACTCCTACATGTTAGGAAACAGCTGAGGCGTTGATGTGCTGTGAAATTCTTCCTGCTGTTTATCCTTGGATGTGAAAGAGCTCAACCTCTTGGGTAGTTTGGTCATCAGTAGGACTCTTAGTCTCGTCAATGACTCATACTCTCTTTTATCTTCTTGCAGATGATTGTGAATATGATGTTGAAGAAGAAATCGAGAAGGACATAGAGAATGAGGATGTGGAGAATAAGGAGGAGGTATGTATTCTTTTGGACACTGTTTAAGGCCAACCGTCCATCCGTCGAATAATAAACAACATCTTTAATAGATGTGGGAAGAGGAAACTTTAACAGGTGCAGCCAGTGTTGTGGTTGGAATGTTCAACTAGGACATGGGAGACCAGAGTTCAAATTCCCACCCAACCACAAATAAAGCTCACCAGATGACTTTGGGCCAGCTCCTATCCATCCCTGCTTAACCCATATACAAGGTTGTTGTGAAGGTGGGGAACACCTTACGACATAGAAGCAATGCAGTCGCGAGCTGCTAGCTTGAAAACAGCACATGATGGAATGTTAGGACTGTTCCGTGGGAAACAGAGGGACAGTCAACTCACAGGGCAATGCACCGGAATTAGCTCAGAGTGTAATATGAGCTCTTCCTTTTGCTCTTGTACAGGAAGTACAGGTTTTGTTTCACTCTCGACTGCTGGAGCTTGAAGAGAGCAGTCATTTTTTTGTAACGCTGCAAAGACAGAAATAAAGGAATGTAAATACGTTTCTGTCTATCTCTTTCTCCTGCCCAGGGGGGCAGGAAAGAGGGGGTGTGTTCTTCTCACGCTGAGAAGGATTGCCTATCGTGACCTAGCCTGTATCCTGCTGGGGAATGCAGACAGGGAGGTCAACAGGAGATCAAGCCGGGTGCCTGGAGAGTGGCCAGTCTCTCCTGATAAAGGCTTGATTCCCGACAGTATGCTGCCCTGAAACCCACCTCCCTATTGACAAAAATGGAGAGGTTCATGTGTGTGTGTGTGTGTGTGTGTGAGAGAGAGAGAGAGAGAGAGAGAGATATTTGTTTAGGGAGCCCAAGCAATCCTTCAACCAAGAATTAACCGTTCCTGACATGAGGCACCACCACGGAGATGGGTGGAGTGGGAGGGAGGGGGAGAGAGAATGTCCTGGGATAATGGGAGCTAAAGTCCAACATAATTCGGAGAGCCACAGGTTCCCTAACCCTGGTACCAGTAGATGATGCCTTTCACAATTACCTTTCTGGCTGTTATTCTGCAGGATGATGACTTAGAGACAGATGTTGAGAAGCTCATGTCAAAACCAGATCTTGACCGGCCTGAATCAGAACTCAAACAATATGAGGCCATGTGTCCAGAACTTTGCTGCAACTTTCTGGTGAGATGATGGGTTTACAATCTTTGAATAAATCTGAGAGGCTGCTGTATGGTAGAGGCCATGTCAGTGCCTTTTATCTTTTTATTATTATTATCTTGTAAAGGAGATGGAATCAGAGTCTGAAGATGAGCTAAACTCTGAGGATGTTCCTGGGATCCTGACGGGCTCCTGCCTCCACGTCATTCCAAACGCTGTTCCCTCAAAGCACCAGCCCGAATGCAGAGAAAAGGACCAAATCACTGAAGATGGAAAACTGCCCCAAAGGGCTTCTGGAGTTCCAGTACAGAGCTGGGTGAAAAAAGAGAATCCATCTCAAGAACTTGCGAAAGTGCCTTGTGATGAGTCAAAGCCTTTGGAGGGTTTCTTCAGAGATGGTGGCATCCCAGACAAAGGCTGTGCAACCACTCTGCACACTCTTCCCAAGGACATATTGAGGAACAGAACAACTTCTCAGCCTCAGCATATGAACTCCTGCAGGCCCAGTTGCCAAAAGACAGTGGAGGCTTCTGAGGTTGTGAGAAAGCTTTTGGAGAGACACCCGGGGAATATCCCTTTTCACAACCCCCGCTTCTACATGGCAAGGGCTGGCTCCACACAGTCCATTCCAGACTACAGAGTGTTGGCATTCCCAGATTTCTGGGGTCACCAACCATGTCCTTATAGCCAGTCTGTTCAGCAGAGGAGATATGGCATCCAAAAGTAAGTCTCCCCCTTTCTGTTATAAAGATAGAGCAGTACAAAGACATGTACACAGACAAGCACAGTGTCATGTGTGATAAGATGGAGCAATGTCAGGTATCACTCCCTCTAACAGCCAACTTGGGGAATGATTGCCAACGGTTACATGGTCAAAATGTGACCATGGAGAAACAAGAGGCTCCTATCAGCGTGCCTTGGGGTACCTTAAGCATTGGTGGCTGGTGCCCATTGATGCTGATGGGGCAGAATGCAGGGAGCTCAGTCATTAGGTGGAGCCAGAGCCAATGATTGGCTGAGCCAGAGCCAATGATAGGTAGAGCCAACTTCCTCTACTTTTGCCCCATCCTCTTTCCTGCTGAGTTCTTCAAGGGCAACACTGATATTAAGGAAAAGGAAGCTGCCCATCCCCCTGGACTGCCTGTAAGTAAGAAGGCAGGGAGGTGATGGCTGGCCAAGGGCAGGCTAAGGTTGGTGGGGCAGTGCCCTGCCTAATCGACCAGCCTCCACTGACCTCAATATTAGCTGAAGAGCAACAACAAAACCTGTTTAGAAAACCATACTATAGGGGGCCACCTGTCTTCAGTTACAACTGAGCATGCTCAGTAGTCCGATAATGCTGAGTGTCTGTTGAAGGGATGAGGAGGAATGGAAATCTGGGGTGGAGAAGAAATGTAATGGAGTTTCCTGGAAGAGGACATGGCTGGCTGGCTGAAGTCCTGAACTGGATCACTTACATGTTTTAGTGGAAGTTCTGCTTGTTTTAAAGAATTGAGGGTGGAAGCTTCAGCGAGACAATGATATTTGTAAAAATGGGGAGAGATTTCCTTCTGTGTGCATAATTTCCTCAGCGGCTTAGGCCTTGTTCTTCTCATCACAGGGCCAAAATATTTGATGACATCCGTCGTGTCATCCAGCCAGCTGATATAATCAATCGAGTTGTCTTTGACTTGGATAGCTCCAGGTAAGTTTCTGTCTTCTAGATCAGGGTGATGTCATTGGGAACTAGAGCAAGGGCAAGCAACTAACTATTGCATTTATTTAAATTTCCAGACTCTTTTCTACTAATGCTTTTAGGCATAAGACATCCAATGTAGAATGAAATGTCTAATGGAAGTCAGATGGAATGTGAAAGGAGGTCAGGACTGACATTCATTCCCCCACAAACTATGACTCCCACATGCTGAAAAAGCAGCCCAATGAAAAGAATTTGAGAAGTTAGCAGATACACAAATGTCTGTACTATAATCAGACTTGAGCTTTGGCATATCTCCATGGGAATGAGCTTCACAGTGATGTAGCTGCTCTCCGAAATGAAACTTCTGAAATGTATATCTTGCCTTTCAGTACTAATCAGTATTCCCGAAGCAGCTTGCAACAGCAAAATACAAATACAGCCCCTATGTAAAACAATAGATCACAGGGTAGAAAGGACTAACAGCCAGTATAAAAAGTTAAAGCCGCTTAAAAGGGATAAAAAGTATTTGTTTGCTATTGCAAAGTGGGCACCAGGCAGGCTTCCCAGGGGAGCAGGATTCATCAGTAGGTAAAACCACTGGTTACAAGGGGAAGAGCCATAGCTCAGTGGTAGAACAATTTCTAGGCTTCCCTGTGAAGAGGAATTTACAGTTAATTCCCTGGGAACTGTATAGTTGAGAGAAGAATAGGGGTCTTCTGACAACTCTCAGCACCTTTAACAAACTACAGTTCCCATAATTCATTGGGGGAAAGCCATGACTATTTAAAGTGGCATCATCGTGTTTTAAATGTATGGTGTGCAGGTGACCCAAAAGATGTGTAGGAGTGAAAACAGGCCATAACTTTATTGATTACAGCAGTGATGGCCAAACTTGGCCCTCCAGCTGTTTTTGGACTACAACTCCCATCACCCCTAGCTAACAGGACCAGTGGTTGGGGATGATGAGAATTGTAGTCCCAAAACAGCTGGAGGGCCAAGTTTGGCCATCACTGGATTACAGCAAGATAAGTGGGGTTCACATGGCACTGTGTCACAGATTAGTTTTCCATTTCGAATTTCGATGTTCTGTTTGAAAAATACTTGCTGAGGTATGTCCATGACAGTTGACCAGTGGAGAGAGCCGAATGTGGTGCAGGCCATGTGACTGGGGCCCCTCTGACAACCTGAGGTGAGTGATGTTAGGCACGGCCTCACCCAAGCAATGGCTGGGAGCTCGTGTGCCACCTCAGGTTGTTTGCGCATCCTGCCAATACCATTTCAACCCAAGTTGTGACAGAGAAAAAGACCAGTGTCTGACAAAGTCATCTTATCACTGAAAGAAGGGCAAAATACAGCCAAGAGCCAAGTGTAAAATTTCTCTCCAGGGGGCAGCTGCCATTGATATGAATGTGCCCTGTTTGAGACTGTGAAGATAGTTAAAGTAGTCAAATAGTCTTATATGGTACAGGCCAGCTTCTTGTGAAGTTTGGAGAGCAATCAGTGCTGAAACTTCCCAGACAATCATGTACTTGCTTTACAGTGGTTTCGTGGAGCCTCTCCTCCTTCCATCAGTGTTGAAACAGAAGCAAGAGGATGGAAAGCTAATCTACCTACAGGGGATCCAAACAATGATCAGCTAGCTCCATTTCTGTTTTTCCCAGCTGCCCTCTTTTAATTTCCCTAATAGGGAACTGGAGTAGCAGCTGCTGCTCCTCAGCCATCAAGCCTTTCCATAATCCTGTTGAAAATCTTGTTTCAGCTCCTTGAGCTCGGATGCTCCGGAATGCCTGAAGTTCTTCTCCAAATTTGAATCTGGAAACCTACGCAAGGCTATCCAAATACGAGAGTAAGTAGCTGAAATAACCCCACAAGCAAGAATGGGAATAGCAGTATGTGCTTGCAATGCTTCTGCATGGGGAAGGGCTGTAGCTCAATGGTATAGCATCTGCTTTGCATGCAGAAGGTCCCAGGTTCAATTTTCAGCATCTCCAGGTAGAGCTGGAAGGTAGAAGGTATGGTAGGAGGACCAAGCTTGCTGGCTGGTGCTACCACCACCATCTGAGGAAGGGCCATGGCTCAGTAGTAGAGCACCTGCATTATGAAGGGAAGGTCCCAAATTCATCTCCAGGTAGGACTGGGAGAGTCCCTTGTTTGAAATCCAGGAGAGCCATTGCAAGTTACTATAGACAACGCTGAAGCTGCAACAGTTAAGTACAATGGTACCTTGGCTTAAGAACAGCTTAGTTTATGAACAACTTGGATTAAGAACGCTGCAAACCCAGAAGTAGGTGTTTTGGTTTATGTACTTTGCCTTGGAATAAGAACATGTTTCACTTCCTGTTGAGTGTGTTCCATTTGTAAATTGAGTCCCCCGCTGCTATGGGAAGTTTAAGAACACTTTCGTTTAAGAACGGACTTCCGGAACGGATTAAGTTTGCAAACCAAGGTACCACTGTACTATGAAACTGTACGGAGTTTGCCACATAGGTGCTACTATAACACAGGGATATGCAACACAGTATCTCCAGCAGCACAACTGGATGCCTTCACCTGCCCTAGCTGCAACAAAACATGTCTCCTCTGTATTGGTCTCTACAGCCACAGCAGGCACTGTAACTCTCTGATGGTTTGACTTTGCCCCCAATGGTGCCATTTTCCATTGTCTCCCAAAACAGATGGATGCCAGCAGCAGCAGCAGCAGCAGCAACAACAACAACAAGCCCTTTATATGTTGTTCTAATACTCACCAGCCCTGGCTAACTTGGACAATGGGAAGGGATGATATGAGTGGTAGTTTAGAAAAAACTGACAGTCACCACATTGGCTACCTACCTCCCAATGACAGTTGGTCCATTTGAGTGCATGGGGCACTGCCCCACCAATCTGAATCTGCCCTGAACCAGACTGTACTCGCCTGCCTTCTTATAACCAGCCCAGGAGGTCCTACTGGTTACCAGCTTAAAAACGTAAGAAGAGGCTGCTGGGTCAGGTGCATCGATTCCAGCATCCTGTTCCAGATGCCTGTAGAAACCGTGAAGCAGCACCCAAGCAGAAGAGCACTCTCCGCTACTGTGGTTTCTAGCAAATGGTATTTGGAAGCCCATTTCCCCTGACTGTGGATGCAGAACATAGCCATCATGGCTGGTAGCCACCAATAGCCTTATCCTCCATGAATTTGTGCAACTCTCTTTTTAAAGCCAGTCTTATCCTCCAGGATTCCCCCTTCTTATTCTCAGCGTTGCCCTTGTAGCGAAGAAGATGGGAGCAGAACTACAATTAGGACTCCTCCACATTTCCATTTGCTTTGTGACTTCTAGGCCCAGGTCAGGGAGGTTTTTTCTTTTGTCGCACCGCTTTTCCTGGGAAAATCTGCTGTACACTGCTGAATCAGAGCAAATGCCAACCGGGTTTTCTGTGAATTGACGTTCGTTCTGATTCAGTGGTAAACAGCGGGTTTCCCCAGGGCAAACTGTGGGACAAAACAAAACAATGTCTCAAACCTGTGCCTAGAAGTCATGGACTGAACGGAAGGAATTGCAGGACAACGGGGAATACCGTAAATGTTGATGAGCCCTTACTTGGCGCCACCTAGTGTTGGCCTCCCTACCTTCAATTGCACCAATTCAAATTGGGACCAGCCACTACTGCCCTGAGAAATGTGAAAGAAATATGGTATGAAGAATATCCATAATATAATTCTCTGTTTCACATGCAATAAGCAGACTGGCACCCACGCCTGTAGTTAAGGAGTTGGGGTGGGGGGAGGCCATGAGTTTTATTTTCACTTGTTGAAAATTAAGTTATTAGCTTGGGTGAACACTGATCACATAGCTCTACATTCCATGTGACAAACTGACATTACAAATAAAGATTATTTTTTTTAAAAGTAAGTTGTGCTTAAAGGAAAAGACATTACCAAAAAAAGAAAAGAGAGAGACATTACTCATGTATGCATGCATATTATTCATCTGTAAAATTAACTTTAAAGCATATGAAAGGAAATGAACAAGACCTATTATGTTTACATCAATTAAGCCTCCATCAACAAACAATATTTTGAGAAGACAGGGAAAATGAAAATGAAAATGTACACTGGCTAACTGGCACACTGTTGCTGCTATGTGTGTTCACCAGAATTGGCAGCACAGGAGAAAATTTAGGAGTAGAAAAGCAAAATATTCTTGCTGGCAGCCGAATCTCCAAATGATGAGAAAGATGTCTAAGCTTATCCAGAGTTTAGTTTCCTTGCAATGAAGATCAGTGAAGACTATGGTGTCTTCAGGACATAAGGTTTTATGTACAACCTGAGGATAGGACAGAGGCTCTTACAGCATTAGCACTTCACAGATCTTGCCTTCCCATTAGGTTCCCAAAGAAATCCACAAGCCACAGCTTGGGGTCCAGCAAAGAGCAAGGCACTCAGAGTCCCACCCTCCCAAGCAAGGCGGGAAATGCCTGCAAGGCAGGGAGCAGATCTTCCAGGATTCCAAGCCAAGGTGGTCCCTTCCTTTACTGCAGTCCTAGTTCAGTGGCTCACCTTGATACATTGCATACCTCAACTATTGACTTGGCTGGGTTTGCTTGTGAACACTTAATGTGTTCTGCTTCTTAGAGCCCCATAATGCTGAATGCATCACTTGGCTGTTTGGTTCTTAATGCTGCACTTTTGTGGCTTGTGATCCAGGTTTGAGTACGACTTGATCCTCAACCCTGATGTCAACAGCTGCCAGCATCACCAGTGGTTCTACTTTGAGGTCAGTGCCATGAAGTCAGCTACACCCTATCGCTTCAACATCATCAACTGTGAGAAGCCTAACAGCCAGTTTAATTTTGGTAAGAGTGCTTGTGACAATGGAGGGAAGGTACATCCATGTATGCCAGGGGTAGGGAAACTTACGCCCAGGGGCCAAATGTATTTGGCCCTTGGAACTCTCCCCACGTCACCCTCTTTCTCCAGGTACAGTGGTGCATGACTGAAGTTGAAACCCTAAACTGTGGTTAATCTTAACTACTGTCCATTGGAACAAGCCAACTTCACAACCCATGGTTTGAATTTGGCTTGTTTCAAACAAGCCATGGTTAAGTTTAATGTCAGAATCTATTCCAAGAGGAGCACAGAGACCTGAAGCTTCTTGCAGCTTGTTCCTATCAAGGGTTTGATATGACTTAAATTTGCATTCATGGCTCCACACACTCTTGGCTCTGCCCACGCCCACCACTGACATGTGGTTCTTGGAGAGTTGTAAAGGAATGCAACCTCCAGGCTGGAAAAGGTTCTCCAGTCCTGATGTACAAGGCCAACTCTTGATCTGAGAAAAGGCAGTGGGTTTCTCTCTCAAGTGCCCAAACTCTGTAAACCTTGATGTCTTCAAAAGTGCTTGATTCTCTCTTCCTTACTTGCCCTCTTGCATAACAAATTACTGTATTTTTCGCCCTAGCCCTATAGGATGCACCATCCCATAAGGCGCACCTAGTTTTTTTGGGGGGAAATAAAGGGAAAAAAATTATTTCCCCCCCCAGGCACGGGGCTGGGCGGGGGAGGCCCGAGCTACCCCCGACCCCAGCCCCCAGCCCCCAAACAGGCAGCTCTCTGCAAGCCGTGGGAGCCCAGCGCTGGCTCCTGCTGCTTGCGGAGAGGTCCGCGAAGCCTGGACGCGCTGATCTCAGCGCGCGCAGGCTTCGGCACGCAGGCAACTCTCCGCAAGAAGCGGGAGCGCCCCCGCTGTTTGCGGAGAGGTCCGTGAAGCCTGGACGCGCTGATCTCAGCGCGCGCAGGCTTCGGCATGCTGGCAACTCTCCGCAAGCAGCGGGAGCATTCCCGCTGCTTGCGGAGAGGTCCGCAAAGCCTGGAGAGCGAGAGGGCCGGTGCGCACCGACCCCTCTCGCTCTCCAGGCTTCAGCGAAAGCCTGCATTCGCCCCATAGGACGCACACACATTTCCCCTTCATTTTTGGAGGGGAAAAAGTGCGTCCTATAGGGTGAAAAATACGGTGTTTTCACACCTCTCACCAGTTCCATACCAGTTTTTGCTCCATTTGACTTTCACGCCTTGGCCACATGATTTGTTTTTCAAATGAGCTGCCCAGCTGCTTTTTGGGTAACTGGCCATTGCCTTGAAATCAGCCAAGGTGGACAATGTCATAGCCTATCAAAAGAATGATCTCTCAACTCTCTTCTCTCACCAGCAAAGCACTGGGGAAGAAAGTGAGAACATAAATCTGCTAATGTGGAGATTTGCAACTAAACAACTATTTGTAACTGAAGATGAAAGATGCAGGCAGATGAGTTATGGAGGATGTTATTTGACTAGCGTAGGGATAATTGGTTATTTATCATTTATGAATTGTCCTCTTTACGCTTGGTGCTTTGCAAAGAAACATCAGCAAAACAGATAAATCCCTGCCCAGAGGAGGCTACAATTGAGATATCAATAGTGGTGGGGAAGCATCAAAAGGAGGGCTAACTTCTTGATAGCTTCTACTTGGCCTAGAGCAGGCATAGGCCAACTCGGCCCTCCAGATGTTTTGGGACTACAACTCCCATCACCCCTAGCTAACAGGACCAGTGGTCAGGGATAATGGGAGTTGTAGTCCCAAAACATCTGGAGAGCCGAGTTGGCCTATGCCTGGTCTAGAGTAAGAGGATGATGTGGCATGGTTTTGGATTATGGGTTTTGTAGTTCATGTGAGGAATTACCACCCTAGAATCCATCAGTACCAGCATTTCTAATGCTGGGTAATGGTGATGGGGAGGGAGAGATTGAGGCTTGGGGGGAATCCTTGCTTTTGTCTCTCATCACAGTTCCCGCCACTCTTGCTTTTGAAAAGTAGGTAACAAGGAAGGGAAAAGTGGGAGTGTATGCTGGCAGTAATGGGGTGATTACTTAAGGTAAGGGATGTGGAACCCTCTTCAGCCTGAGAGTTGTATTATTTCATGGGGAACTTCTAGGGCCCAAAGTCAGCAGGTAAAAGAGACACATCCATTACTTCAGAACACATCCA